GATCATATGCCACTTCTTGAAATGGATGAAGATTCCACTCCTAGGTGTATATATATCCAAGAGAAATGAAAGCATATGTCCCCACAGAAACTTGTACATAAGCGTTAACAACAGCATTATTCACAATAACCAAAAGATGGAAACAACCCCAAAGTCTATCAACTGATGAATGGGTAAGCAAATGGTTTGTCCCTGCAAAGGACTATTATTCAGTCATACAAAAGAATGAAGTACTGATGTGTGCCACAGCATGGAGAACCTGAGAACATTATGCTAAGTGAAAGAAGCCAGTCACAAAAGACCACATATTATATGACTTCATTGACATGCAATGTCCAGAATAGACAAACCCATACAGACAGAAAATAGATTAGTGGTTGCCAGGGGCTGAGGGAAGGGGGAATGGGGAGTGACTGCTTAATTGGTATACTTTAAGTGTATTTTTGAAAATGTTTTGACACTAGAAAAAGGCAGAGGTTACACAATAGGGTGAAAGCACTAAATGCCACTGAATTACATGCTTTAAAATGGTTAACTATATTTTATGTGAATTTCACCTCTTTATTGTTTTTTTAAAGAAAAAGAACGTGGCTTCAGGTTTTATATATGGGGGTGGGTGAGAGAGGAGGAGGAAGGGGCAGGGGAGCCTCCTGACTTCTTGATCACTAAAGAAAGCAGAGCTGGTTCAAGACACCTGGCTGGATAATCCTGGAAGAGGATGAGGTCGTGAGTGGGCAGGGGTCTGGACATGGGGAATGTGAGTTGTGTACAAGATGGGCAGGCAGAGCTGGCCGGGGAGGAATTTGGCTAGGTGACCCTGGAGGTCTGAAGATCATGCTGGGCTGGAGTAAGAAACGTCATGTCTGTGACAAGCAAGGAGGAGAAAACTGGAGCTCATGACACTTGGTTGATAAGTATTTAATCAGCATTAAAAAATATTTGTTGTGTGGAATACTCACTGAAGACCTCCATCCTCATGTGCAAGGCACTGTACTGGCGCTGGGTGTATGGCAGTGAACCACATAGATGAAAACACCTCCTCCCCTTGGGGGGGCTGACGTTTAGTGGGAAGGGCAGGCAGTAATCAGGATGTGTTATTCAATACCATATGTTGTTACGTAGTGATAAGTGCTAAGGAGAACAGTAAGGCAGGGAGGGAAGAAGGGCTGGGGTTTTAGGTGGAGTGGTTGGGGGCTCATGATATCAACAGACAGCAGACAGGTAGTAGCTCTCATGTGTGCCTAGCACTGTTTTACATGTGAGCATTCCTGTGATGGAGTGCTGTAATTACCCTCATTTTAGAGATGAGCAACTGATTCACAGAGAGGTTAAGAAACTTGTCCAGGTCACTCAGCATAACTAGCAGAACTTGAATTTTTACCTGGAGTCCATGCTCTTAAATGAAGACTCTTAAGCACTGTGTAGAACTGCCTCTCATTGAAAAGTGGGGGAGGGAGGTGTATGACACCTTGGGGATCAGCCTTCCAGAGAGGGGACGAACATGTACAGAGACCCTGAGGCAGGAGTGTACTGGTATGTTTGAGGTACAGCGAGATGCCAGTGTAGCTAGGACAGTGGAAGGAAGTGGAGAGTGAAGGGCTAGAATCGGAGAGGTGGTGACGAGGCCACTTGTGGCCTCCATAAGGCCTTCAGCTTTTCTTGAGATGAGGTGAGGCCATGGAGGGTTTTGAGTAAAGGCGAGGCAGGATGTGACTTGTATTCTAACCTGAGTCCTCTGGCTGCTATGCAGGGAGCAAGGACAGAAGCAGTGAGACCAGTGAGCACAGGAATAATGCTGGCAAGAGATGATGGTCCTCAGCAGGGCAGTGGGTGCAGGTGGAGGGAAGGGATCAGCGTGCTGATCTGTTGTGGCCATAGGTCCAGTAGGAGTTGCTGGTGGCTTGGATAAGGAGGGTAAGGGAAAGAGAGGTGCCAAGGATCTGAGTGGTTGGAAGGATGGGATTCCATGGACAGAGATCAGGATGGCTGTGGGAGGAGCAATGAAGTGCTTTCTGCATCCACTATTCTTTTTAATCCCCCAGCTGGCCTCTGAGGGAGATACTGAGACTCAGGGTAGTTACATGATTTGCCCAAGGCTCTCTTGGCTGGAATGTGGTGGAGCCAGGACTGGAAGCCAAGCCTGCATCACAGGGCTGAGCACTTTGATTGATTCAGTCTGCACACATTGAACAGTGATGAACAAACCCAGCACATGCCCTGCCCTCATAGAGCTCCCAGTCTGTAGGAGGAGGCAGTATTAATCAATCATCATGGTTTTTCATTACCTCACACCAGGTGATAAGTGACAAGAAGGAGAAACCAAGGGAGACCTTGGAGCCAGTAACAGGACACCTGACCTAGCTAGGGGGTCAGGGAGGGCTTCCTGAAGGAGGTGATCATGCACTGTAAAGGCTGCTAGGATAGAAGATCATGAGGGATCCTTGGGGGAAGTGAGGAGCTTCTTGGGAAAATGCTCCCTGGTTTCCCAGTCCACAGTGGAAGAACTCTGAGGGAATCATGGGGCCCCAGAGGATGGATACCCGTTAGCAAGTTGCAGAATCTTTTTTTGTTTAGTTTTGGGTTTTGAAACACTGTTTTATTGACATACAATCCACACACCATACAACTCACTCATTTAAAGTGTACAATTCATTGGCATTTAGTTTTTTCACAGAATTTTGCATCTATCACCAGAGTTGATTATAGAACATTTTTTTGTCACCCTGAAGAGAAACCCCACACCCCTTACCTGTCATCCTCCTCCCCCTCAGCCTGCCCACTGGGCAGCCCTAGGCAACCACTGACCTGCCTTCCATCTCTATAGGTTTGTCTAGTCTGAACACTTCCTATAAATGGGATCATCCAGTGTATGGCCTTTTGAGACTGGCTTCTTTCACTTTGCATGTTTCAGGGCTCATCCGTGTTGGAAGTTGCAGGGATCTATGACACTGTCTTGAGTGCCTCCCTGCGCTTTATAGGTCACAGAAACGGGGACTCGGGGAAGACCCCTCAGCAAGGAAGGCCCTGGCCCCACTGTCTCCATGTTCCATGCACAAGGACACCTCCCTCTGCTGTCACTTCTTTTCCTTCAGTGTTAGGCTCCAGATGAATTTGGATGAAAGTGACAACTTCTTCAGGAATGTGTTTCCCCTGCCGGTTTTTCATGCACTAGCAATTTTCACACCCCATGGTGCATCTTGAAATCTCTTATGCATCTTTAAGAATTTGTGTCCACTAATTTAGAATGTTTTAGGGTTTGGTATTTTCTTTTCCTGCAGCTTAAACGCTTTTTGTTCAGACTGTTACACCTGTTTTTCTTGGTTGGTGAGATTCTTGCTAGGGTAGGCAGGGCAGCATCAGGGTTAAGTGCTGGGTTCTGGTGTTGGTGTCCAGGTTCAAGGTTTTGTCCTGCCTCTTCTAGGCGTGTGCCTGGGGGATAGTTGCTAAAGCTCTCTGTGCCTCAGTGTTCTCCCTTTGTAAAGCAAGGGTAACATTGTGGGACTGTAGAGAAGGGGAAGTGGGCTTGCTATAAAAGTGGAGATTTTAGTTCTCAATCAGACCCTCGGGAGAGATTGTGGGGGCTTCCCAGGGCCCTGGGATAGCCAGGCTAGAAAAGCGGCTCCCTGGCCACACCATCCTGTGCTTCATTTTCCCTCCTCCGCTGAGTTGACCCTGTCCGCTTTCTTAGGCTGAGAGGTGCAGACCCTGAGGCAGATCTCAGCCTGACTGTCTGACTCTGTCCTCTGAGTCAGCTCCGTGTCCTGTCAGTACCTCAGTCTCTTCATCTGTGAAACGGTGGGGGTGCTGTGGGGTGGGGGGCGTGTCCACTGAGTCCTCCAAGGCAGCCAACAGGCTCTTGTGGGAGTGTGGAGCAGAGGGGCTGGTGGGGTGGAAGAGCCTTTTCTTCTCCCAGGAGATCCTGGTCCCTGCTGATTTCAAGATCCAAGCAAGAGCGGTGGCACCTGCTCAGGGGAGGTGGGTGGAGAGGGACACCTGGTTTCCCTTTGCCTCTCATGAGACGTGTTATGTGGGAGGTGGGTGGAGTTGTCGCTGCAATGAAGGGCCTCCTGGTCTGCGTGCAGGGGATGGAGAAAGAGCCTCTTTGAACGGTCTTTATTAAGCACTTACATGTGCCAGGTATTTGACTTGCATTTTCCTTTTAACTTCACAAAAGGTCTCAGAGGAGGCACTCTTATTTCCATTTGACAAGTGGGGAAACTGAGGCTCAGAGAGGTGGGGCTGCCTGCTCAGTGTCGCTCAGCAGGTGAGGGGCTGTGTTGGGATTTGAACTCAGGACTGAGTCCAGCCTTGTTCCTAACTGCCCCCATCCAGGGAAAAAAAAAAAAAAAAAGGAGAAACAAGACAGGGAGCAGAAGCAGCCATAGTCTAACAAATGGAACCTTTGGAACCCTATCTTCCCGGCTGCTGTGGGTATTCTGTGGGTGGTGGAAAAGGCATCGTAAATATGCATGACATGCAAATATGGTTTAAAAAAACAATGGGGGGCCCACAGGAGCTGGGGTGCCAAAGTGCTTTGGAAAATGTATTGTTGTGCAAACACTTGGGTTTCTATGACAATCGATCCCTATTGTTCCCCTCCCAGGCATCCCCAGGGTGTGGTTCAGGGGTCTTAGAATAGAGGGCTTATCCCAGAGCTTCCTAATTGCCATTCTCCCCCATCCCTGCAGGCACCAGTGATCTTGTGAGCAGTGCCTCCCCCTGCCGGGCACCTGGAGGCCTGTGTATGACCAGCACTGGGTAGCCCGATACCTTGAGTGTTGTTGGCAGGACCCCTGTTCCACGCTGCTTCCTGCCAGCATCTCTGACGTGTGCCCGGAGGGATGAGTGTGCCAGCTCTCGGTCCAGTGCCCGCTCCTGAGGTGACGCCTGCTGATTCCCGACTGGCTCCTGGTTTTCCTCTGCACGTTGCTCTCTGGTTGGTAAGTAACTGCGTTCACAGGCCTGGGCACACGGGTGTCGGGGCTCCTTACCCACCCACCCGTGCTTGGCCCAGTTGGGAAATGCCCAGCCTCCCTGCAAGCAGCGCCTACAGGCTGGCAGAGGACCTCAGTGAGAGCTTTTGTACAACTAAGCACACTTGATAGTTTTCCTGCTTGTCTTACCCAGTCCTCCCGACTAGAGGTGGGCACACTGATTGCCTCTGTTCTACAGAGGAAGAAACAGCCTCAGAGAGGAAGCTGCTTGCCTGAGATTACACATAGCAAGCCCAGTTCTGTGGGGCTAGTTCTTGGCACACTCACGGGCTCAGAAAGGGAAGTGGAGTGTGAGACATGCTGGAGGCCAAGGAACCCCCACCAGGTCCCCCGGGGAGGTAAATGGGACCTTCCCTGGGGGCTAAGGGTGGGCCACTAGAATACCTGAATCCTCCTGCCCCACTAACCCATTCTAGCCATACTCCTCCACTTCCCATCTTGCCTGACTCCCTGACACAGATGTGGTTCTGGGCCCAGCAGCATCTCTGATGTCCATCTGCCCCTCCCACACCACCCAACTCAAGGTCAAAGCCTCGTCTTGTCATGCTTCCCACAGTGATACCAGCAGCAGAAGCCACCACTTCCCATCCTTTGGTGTTGGCCGCAGAGCCGGTGCATCCCCATGTCTTCCATCCCATCTTCACCACCTGCCTCCCAGGGCTGTGCTGGTGTGACTAGCCTAGTCACAGATGAGGAAACAGAGGCTGAGTGAGGCCGAGTGGCTTCCCAGGGTCACCCAGCCACCACTTAGCATGGCATGGGCCTGCTGAGTTAAGATCTGCCACTTTTTCTGGCCTCAGTTCCCGAAGGGCTTCATTCCCCACTGGGAAACCAGCAGCTGGCCCAGCGCCTGACACAGAGTGGGCATAATAAATAGTTATGGAAGGGAGGGAAGAAGGAGAAAAGGAAGGAAGGCTCTCTCACCTCCCCCCACCCAGACACCAACAGGGCCCAAGAGCCAATTAGCTCTTTGGCCAGCTTGTCCCTGCTGACTCCCAGAGCCCTGGTGGGGAGCGCAGACCGTCAGCCGGTAGACCAGCTCCTCTTGTCTCAATTTCCTCATCTGCCATCAGCTACCCAGCCTCCCGATAGGATGGTTCTGAGCAGGGAAAAGACTTGTAAATATGTATAATATGCAAATGTCATGGGATAATAAAAAAAAAACGTGAAGTTCACTGTAGATAATGTATGTAAAAGTGCTTCTCAGAGAGCAAGGGGTGGCATGCTCCCACAGTGCCAGCCTTAATAATTGGAAAAAGGCCCCTTAATTAGCAGCTGCCCCCCAAGCCAGCTCCGCGGCCCAGCCCCCAGCCTGCGGTAGGGACTGCAGACAGCTGTTGGACTTTGGATGAGAAGCTGTCACAGGAACAGCAGTGATAAGGACATCTTAGTCTGAGAGATGTGAGTCTCTGGGACTTACTCATTTGACAGCATTCCTGGTCCTGCCTGAGGAATGCCCCTGCCTGCTGGTCCTCCCCAGGGACAAAATGTGTAACAGGAGCAACCAGGTTCACTGTCAACATTTCCTGAGCAGTTACTACGCCCTGGCATTGTGTGGGATGCCTCACTTTCTTCTTCATCTCACTGTGCTCCCAGCGGCCCTGTGGAAGGTGATGCGGAGGTGAGGGCAGGGCCCTGGGGAAAGGGTCATCCTTCAGCTGCCCAGTCTTTTCCGACAGTGACTACCATTCAGGGCCCACCCCCACCCCCAAGGCCAGGCACGGCCACTGACAAGGCAGCATCCCTGACAGCCCTGGCGTGTGTGGCCCAGTGACGGAGAATGGAATTCCTTGGCACGAGCTGAGAGAGCAGCCATCAGCATTACGTGGAAAGATGGAGGCCCGGGCAGCAGCGAGGGAGGTGTTGCTGCTGCTATTTTGCTAACAAGCCGGTTATTTAAAGAACAGGCTCCACTGATGCCGGGAAATTGGATGAGGCGTGTCCATGCCTAGGGCAGAGGTGGCTAGGGGCACTGTGTCACCGAGGGTAGTGACTGAGGCTGGACCCAGTAGTCCAGCCAGGGCAGGGCAGAGTAGCCACACATTCACTCATTCATTCATTTTTCATCCATTTATTATTATTATTATTATTAAGGAGTACTGGTGGTGCAATGGTTAAGTTCTTGGCTGCTAACCAAAAGTCTGCAGTTCGAACCTACCAGCCGCTCTGTGGGAGAAGAGACCTGGAGCTCTGTCCCTGTAAATCTTTCAGCCAAGGAAACCTGCCTGTGGGGCAGTTCTGATCTGTCCTACAGGGTTGATATGAGTCGGAATAACTTGATGGCACAACAACACAGAACAGAATCAACACTACTTTTATTAATTAGAACATTGTTGTTGTTGTTATTTGCCGTGGAGTCGGACCAGACTCATAGCGACCCCTCCTTGGGTTTCCGAGGCAGTATCACTACAGAAGTAGATTGCCCAACCTTCCTTCCAAGGAGTGGCTGGTGGGTTTGAACCGCCAGCCTTCTGGTTAGCAGTCAAGTGCCTTAGGCACTACGCTACCAGAGCTCCTATTAATTAGAACAGCAGCATAAAAGTCTGGGAAAAGATTACGGTTGTAGGAGGGGGCCATGAAGGAGTTTCTGAGGCGCCTGTTTCCTGACCTGGGTGATGGTTACATGACTTGGTTATAATTCATTGCACTAAACAATTTCATTCTATGCACTTTTCTCCATGTGTTATATTTCATGGTGTAAAGACTAAAATGCAGTTATGCCAATAATGAACCCCAAACCAAACCCACTGCCATGCACAGCAACCCTATAGGATAGAGTATAACTGCCCCTATAGGGTTTCCAAAAGCTGTAAATCTTCATGGAAGCAGACTGCCTCATCTTTCTCTTGTGGAGTGGCCAGTGGGCTTGAACAGCTGACCTTTAGGTTAGCAGCTGAGTGCTTTCACCTCTGTGCCACCTGTTAGCTAGTATTTATTGGGCACTTACTAAATGCCAGGCTCTTTGCTAAGCATTTTACTTTATCTCCTTGAAGCCTAACTGCTTCTATTATTTTACCCATTTTACAGAGGTGGAAAGTGAGGAGGAGAGGCAAAGCTGCTTGCCATCAGAGAGCTCTCAGGTGGTGGGGATGGGATGAGATAGGCCTGCTCAAGCAAGGATCACTGTCCCATGCTGTGTCTCTTAACACTTGAAGTGTGCTAGGATCAGTGGCCAGAAGGTCTTCCCAAAGGCAGAGTGTTTCTCCAGTTGTTCCTCAGATACTTATCTGTTCCTGTTGCATTTTTACGGTACAGTCAGGAAGACCAGGCAGGTGTCTGTGGTCTCAGGCAGCAGGGGAGGAGTTTGGGGAGTCAGACCTGGGGTCAGAGCAGAGCACTGAGCCATTTGACAAGTGTTGAAGGATAGGAATCAGACATCCCCAGGGACATCCCAGGGAAGGGGGCCAGGGCACGCTCAGCTCTCATTCAGGGTTGAAAGAAGTCATTCCTGTGAGAACAGGTCAGACCCAGCCTCTGAACTAACCTGGATGTGGAGCCCACCGCCATTTTCTGAGGACCTGTGGTATGCCAAACACATCCATTACCTTCTTTAATCCTCACAACAATCCTGTGAGGTCAGTGCTGTTGGTCCTATTTTACAGATGAGGGGATTGAGGCCTCGAGAGGGGAAATGACTGGCCCAAGGCCAAACAGCCGGTGAGTAGTGGAGTGGCTCTGTGTGGCTCTTCAACTCCAGTGGTCCATACCCCATGCATACAGCAAGCTTTCTCAGTACTCTTGGAAGGGCAGGCACTTGGGCATAGAAGCCCCAAGCAGCCTGTGGCTGGAATCAACTTTGGAGGTGGATCTGTGGAATAATGGCGTGGAGGGTGGGCATGGCAAAGGGCTTTTCTGAGTCCTGAAGATAGGGTGCCGGCCCCAGAGACATTGCCACATTCCAGAGATATTTATTGCATGCTAGTCTAGGCCTCTCACGGAGCACACAGTCTTGGGTGGTGGCAGCATTGTTAGGTGCCATCAAGTAGGCTCCACCTCATAGCAACCCCATGAATGAAACACTGTCCGGTTCTGCACCAGTCTCAGTCCTTGCTTTACTTGAGCCCATTGTTACAGCCACTGTGTCAATCCATCTTGTTGAGGGTCTTCCCCTTTTTCACTGATCCTCCGTTTTACCAAGCATGACATCCTTCTCCACGGAATGGTCCTTTCTGACAACATAACCAAAGTAGGTGAGACGAAGTCTGGCAATTCATGCTGCTAAGGATCATTCCAGCTGCACTTCTTCCAGGACAGATTTATTCCTTCTTCTAGCAGTCCGTGATATTTTTGGTATTCTTTGTCAACACCACAATTCAAAGGCATCAACTCTTCTTCGGTCTTCCTTATTCATTGCCTAGCTTTCACATGCATATGAGGTGATTGAAAATACTATGGCTTGGATTAGATGCACTGTAGTCTTCAAAGTGATGTCTTTGCTTCTTAACACTTTAAAGAGGTCTCTTGCAGCAGATTTGCCTAGTGCAATATGACATCTGATTTCTTGACTGCTGCTTTCCATGGGTGTTGATTGTGGATCCAAGTAAAGTGAAATCCCTGACAACTGCAATCTTTTCTCTATCGTGATGCTGTTTATCAGTCCAGTTGTGGATATTTTTGTTTTCTTTATGGTGAGGTGTAATCCATACTGAAGACTGTAGTCTTTGATCTTCATCAGTAAGCGTTTCAAGCCCTCTTCACTTTCAGCAGGCAAGGTTACCTTGTGCCATCTGCATATCACAGGTTGTTAATATCTCTTCCTCCAATCCTGATGCCATGTTCTTCTTCATATAGTCCACCTTCTTGGGTTATTTGCTCAGCCATACAGATTGAATAAGTATGATGAAAGGATACAACCCTAATGCACACCCTTCCTGAATTTAAACCATGAAGTATCTCCTTGTTCTGTTTGAAGGACAGCCACTTGGTTTATATACAGATTCCTCATG